TCGAACGAAAATGTGTGGTGTCTTATTTGTCGTTTTGACCACTTTTAATAAAAGCAACTTGTTTTGGGACATATAGGTAAAGTTGAACATTTTTTTTAATTAAACTCCTGGGAATGCATTGTTATCAATATCAGATGATGCATATGTATACTCATATCCTCTATGGAATAAATGATAATAAATTAAAATTAATATCGACAAATTGCGGAGGAATAAATTATTGAAAACCGATTCTCACGATAGAGGTAAATATAAATCATTTATTCGAATAGTAGACCAAACCAGTTTATTATGCACCATTTGAGATGAATGCAATGTCTAATGTGCAATGTGAATTATTTTATTGGATATGTCGAGAAGCTGAATGAATCACTTTCTCACTGTAGACTGAAGAATTTCAAGTATTTATGAATTTATTATGAGTCTGGTGTCACTATTCACCCGATTCTGCCACCTGATGAATTTCTGGAGAATAATGATTTTTCAGGTGAGAAACACTAGTTACAAAAATCTATTACGCAATTTTCCATAAAAGATGTGGAACCAAACATACGTGAATGATTTTAGATTCCTTTTAGAGACGAGTCATTCGCGTGATTGGTGATGTGATACTCACTAATTCCACTAATTCCTTGATCCATCGCGTGAATTCGACGTTTCATTCCGCGCGGAATAGTCATTTATACACCAAGGTGATAAAGAATATCATTATTACAAAGGGAATAAGATTGTAATAATGGTAATAATATTATTTTTCTATTCACATGACTAAAATGGCATTTATCTTACGGATATGTACCACGCTAAATGATCGATTAATCACGGATTGTCGATCTGTGATTTATTCAAAATATTAAATACGTTACCATGGCAACACGATTTCTTAAACACATTACCATGGCAACGCAGTTCATTAAACACAGCATCAGTAATTTGAGACATGTCTGGCCTGTCAATTGTATTAACTGTCAACTGTTATTTTCATATTTTGTATCAGAATTATTCAAACAATATTCGTTTATATCACAATTCTTCATTAAAAATATATGCGAGATGTAGACGAAAGTGAAATCGAAGAGAATGTTCTGGTACTTGCATATCTCCAAGAAGTGTAAAAATGAAGCATCCATCTTTGAGAACAATTTATTTATTCTGCACTAAGCATGACAATAAACGTGAAACAATAAAGGTTAGTAAGCAAAGGACTGAACACATCTACAACCAATATCACTTATACGTGTCTCGCTGGTTGCATGCAGTTGCATGTATTATGTTCTCCATTCCCATTCCTTTCGAATTATTTTGTAGATTAGCAGGAATAGCAGGTATGTTAATGTAATTTTCGGAGTTCGTAGAAAAAGCATAGTATGTAACGCGTTCATAAACTCTTCTAGACACTCGTTTATTAAACACTCGCTCCGCTCTGCTCCGCTCGTGCTTAAAATACTCGTTACTAAAAGGACGTTTATAACACTTGTTACATAATATATACTATTACTACCAAGGTGTATATTAAGTTTTTTTCACCACTAGCAATACATTCGAATCATTTCAGTTCTGTGAAACTGAAATATGAACCTATTGTTACTATGAAAGCACTTCTGCTATTAGCCATGACCATGACAGCATATGACAAGTCGTTATTGATAAATGCCTACTAGATTCGGGTGTCATCCTTGCGAATGTCGCATAGGAACAGTGAATTCGGGTTAATTTTATCAGAGGTGGCTATGTCTTCATTGACTAGTGGTTTATAAAATGACGAAAACTACCTTGGTAGTGAAAACACACTTTACGCCTCGAAAAGGAGTAAATGATGGTAGGTTTCATAGCTAGTGGTGAAAAAAACACTTTACACCTCAACAGATTCTTATGATCTATCTAATGAAACCACATAGATTCGACTCGTTTTATAGAATAGTGTTCCCACATATTGGTTAACGGTTCAGCACCCAAACATACGTCGATGCTTTCAGATTCCATTCAGAGTCAAGCCATTCGCATGATTGGTGATGGCATACTCACTAATTCCTTAACATCATTGGAACACCATATAGAAAAGCAGCCTCCCTTCCTCTTGAAAATAGACAAATCCTTCTAGGGAAAATATTCTTCGGAAATCTCGGCTATCATTCCATCACTAGAAAGCCATCAACATTAAGCTCGTCAAATATCTGGAAAGCTCAGGAATCATCAATTTCGCCCCCGATATATCAACTGGAGATTTACGTGCCTCCGTCATCCCCATATATGGCATGCTCCATTAGAAAAACATCTAGCTGTGGCGTTGGATATATCGGAGGCATTCGGCCATGTTCGGCACCAAGGACTCCTCCACAAACTACCATCATACGGCTTACCACCTCAGCTATGCCATCTTCTATCGAGGTTTCTTTTAGGCACATCGCTTCTTGCTACATGTGGTAGTGGACAGAGTATCATCTGATTCCATTGCCATGAATTCGGGCGTTCCACAAGGATCAATTTTGGAACCAACATTGTTCCTACTTCATATCAATGATCCAATGATCTCTTGAGAGCAACCACTTGCCTTATTGAATATTTTGGAAGATATTGAGCTTCAAAGTTTGCCTGATATTTCTTGAATCATTTATCAGAGAAAGCATTTGCTTTCGGTAACGTCAGGGGCATCGGAAGTATTAATAATCTCTGCAATGTAGCCGGATGTTCAATAACAGTAAGAATATGAGGTATGGTGAGGGCGCGCATTCAAAATATTTTGAAAATCATTTATCGTGACATTTATGTCTCATACAACAGCCCATTTTATTTATCGCCCCAATTTCGAAACAACCATAAGCCCGAAATATATTCCCTGTTTGCTGATCGTTGATCAGAAAATAAGATGTTCGTAGACTACACAATATCAGCGTTCCTGTTTCTATCTCACTAGACTAGCCACAGATCGAGTAAATCCCTGAAATGAGCTATCCTCCCTTCCAAGATTTTCCAACGACCCTTAAGGAAGTCGGGGTACAAAAATAGGCGCGCGTATTTAAGGCAAAGACGTTAATTTTAGCGCGTGAAAATCACAAACCGAATCAACCCGGTCCAGCCACCCCTGACGTCGTAGCACGTGCTGCGACTGTTTACCCCCTCAAAGGGTGCACCAGAGTATCGCTGATACGTTAATGTTCCATCACGGCATCCGTCTCTGTGTAGGTATAACATTTTCAATGTTGATGAAATCATCCGGTGCTTACCTACCTAGTTGGATTTTCAGAATTTGAATGGACGTTTTCTTGATCTTTTTTGTATTGAATCATAAATAGTTTCTATATCAGGGCAGTACCAGCACCGGAAAGCCCAAATATTCACAGACCTATACAGGGGCGCGCCTAGACACTTCGCCGCCCGTGTGCAATATGTTCTGGGCCGCCCTCGAAAAAATTTCAAATGAAACGAATTTTGAAAACTGATATATTTTGGAAACTGAAAAGTAACAAATAATATATCAAACTCGTTTCAAGATGTCTCAAGAGATGATTTAGTTCATGGAACATACCATAATATATATATAAACGTAAGTAACATAACAAATAATATACGAATTGAAAAATTCATATGAAATTAACATTACTTCATTAACATTATGAGGTTCAGGTAATACTTTGAGAAAAACGCATGGAAGGGCGATAATATCGCAGTGAAAATAATAGAGAAAATATCATTTTTTTTGCTTCCTGCTGAGGAAATTCTTCGATGAGCATGTCAACATCGATTGTTTCTAATAATTCAGATTCGAAGGATATTGAAGCAAGGTCCTGGCTCATTTTAGACCTCAAATAGTTTTTTATTATCTCCAACTTAGAAAATGACCTTTCTCCATTAGCAACTGACACCGGTAAAGTTGATAAAATGTATATACTGTGAAATTTTTTGTGGATGATTTTCTATTTTTCATGATAAATCACTTTCAATGATTTTAACTCATTGAATAAATCTGTCCCGTCTACACGCAAAGAAAAAGCCTGTAAGAAATACTAGCATAAAAGTGAATTTCACTGGTAAAAACAGTTGATATATGGACAGACAGTCCTCCCAGTAAACTTTACTATTCAGTTCAAGTGAAACTATTCAAGGCACTGGCTACACGATGTGATAGTACCCTTAATTAGAAACGGAGGAAATTCATTACCCTTCGAATTTTATGAATACTCACTATGAGGAACAGTAAATCAAACGATGCACAAATACTGCGGCTGAACATGATGCAGCTGTAATATTCGCTCTTCCGTACACTGTAATGAACTTCATACAATGTAATCAAACTTACCATGAGAAAAAGTTATGATTCACATCCACTACTTCACTATCGGAAATAGTATACTCGGATCAATATTGGATAGTATTTTTTACTATACTGACTTAGTATTTATTATTATCGTGGATATTATAACCACTCATGCTTATTTCAGTAGTATTTACTATAGGACATATTAATAGAAACTAGGAATCAGCATAACATATTACTTACTATTTTTGTTATAGTATAGTTAACTGCACGTACATTTCGTAGTATATGAGGTACAGTCAGATGCAATGAACATGTGTAGCACTTGTAATGATAACACCTCCAGCCACTTCTATATAATAAGAGCGCTTACATCATCCAACCGCGACTTGTTTTTTGCATCTGTCTGTAATGGATATAAATGAATACAGAATTAGTAAAAAGAATGAAATCACTATATACCTATAGAGTTCCTGATGAAGAGCCAATAAAGATCCGAAAGCTCGAACAGAAACAAGAGTACACTTTGTTTCACTTTGACTGCATACCCGAAAGGATTTACAGTTTCATCCATTTCACTAACTGTATGATGAATATCAATTTGTCATGGATTTAAACAAACCTTGTCTTGAAAAATTAGAATTAGACTCCACAATTTTTTACAGGACGGTATATCTAAGAAAATAATGCCTATGTTCTCCTGCTGCTTTCGAGAAAATATCCTAACGAAAATCATCCAGTGAATCTATGACCATTGATTTCTTTCAAGGATATGTTTCTCTTCGTAAGCTATATAAGAAAAATATTCTCTTTTAGAAACCGTTATCTTGTTGGGACATCTGGTATTCAATATTTCAATATATATATATATGAATAGAGTAATAAGCAGTTCAGTGTATCTCTGAAATAACATAAAATCAGTTGGAATTATTGTCTAGGACATTCAATTGGATTTGTATCTTTCATCAATTATTCATAGATGCAAATAGTTCACTGATGGCAAGAATAAGATTGATGAAGCAGGTATAGGTACACAAAATTAAATTCTGTACTTTTCTTTCGAACACTTCACATGATGTTTATTTGGGATTAAAAAAAATGGAACATAACAATAAAACATAACAGAACATAATATACTCCTTTCTTAAACATATAAATATTATGTTTGTACTATGTAATAGGGTGGCCACTTTTCTAATGGGATTTTATTGGTAATTTCCATCAAACCATATACTAGTTAGAAGGTCGGTTAGATGGAGAAAAAGTTGCGTATCAGAAAGCATCATCTAGCGGTGAAAACTATAATCGTTATATATCTCAAGAACTGGCACTGATATTTTCAATTCGTTTTCACCGCCGCTGGATGATGTTTCTTGATACTTCTTCATGTAACCGACCTTCTTACTAGTACGGTTTGGAAGTTACCAATACAATCCCAATTAACAATGTGGACACACTGTATACCTACATATCAAATATATACATATACATATATATATCAACAAAATGATATAAGAATTAAACGACAAACATTTTGTTTCACAAAATACTTGAACAGAATAGTATATCAAGTTTGATACCTAATTAATTATTCAACTCCTGTTGTAATGACTTGACAGATATAAACTCACCATCATAATCAGTAAAAATTTCATAAAATGATTGTTGCACAAATGTCCATTGAATGCATAAAAACATTTAAAGCACAAATCGATAGCTTTCAAAGGTGACTCCATTTCCCAGAGACTATCATTCACACTGACGAATGACTTTTCTATGTTGAGAATGCTTTGACCTACTAAAATAGGTATTGGCTGCATGGTAAGTTTGAGCTGACTGTATTTATTCCTTTTATACACCAAATTAGGTTGAATGTCCGCAATACTCTGGAAAAAAAGATGGGTAAGTGAATAATGAAATCCTCTACTATACATTCTACTACGGCATCTGATAGCTGTTCAAAAGTATATCCACTCCTTTCGCTGTAAATCGTAATATCAATAATTATTTGAATAACTATTTTCGTACACGAAAAAAAAAAGGATTCGTTGATTCAAGCAACATTTAATTGAATAAAGCAGATGTAAGTGTCATATATGCGCGAAAAAAATTAATCTTGAAATGAGTTTAAAAATATATCTTGTTTAGATATTTTGTGACACCTGGTATTTTGTTTTGATTTGATATTATATTGTAAAGTCGATCGAACTACATTCTTGTTTTAAACAAGCTGCTTCCATGAAATAATCATGTATGTTTGATTCAAAAAGCATAAATAATATTTCGTTGATGCAACAATTCCTTTTTTTTTTCTGCAATCGACTCGAAAGTCGTCCATATTTTTGTACCAAAATTAGCTCTTAAAGTTGATGTTTCCCTTACTGACATAATAAAATGATTAGTGTCTAGGAGGTAAAGTTGAAGTTTAACTCCTAGGAACTAAAACTGTGTCGTATGACAGCTGATTTGATAGCTGCTGTTACACTGACAAGTGAGTCAATATAGTGGTAACTTCAATTATTATATTTTATGAATTAGATATCAATTATTTCGATTGCAGAAAAAATAGCATGTTTCATTCGGATCAAAAGTGACCTTGTTTGACTCGCAAAATTATTTGCGTGCTCGGCTTCGCGGTTGCTCCGTCTCGCAAACGCAAAATTCGCTTGTCAAAAAAAGTGTCACATTTTATCCTAATATAACAATCTACTATTGTATGTGTACGCGCAACATGCCATAATTATACAAATAAGTAGTTTTTTGTGTTTATATTTTTATAATAAGTTATTTGAAAAACGTATTGTGAATTTTACATTTCGGTAGATGAGTTTTATATATGGGTATAATATATGAAGTTGCACACGAGAGAATAGTAAATTTTACCATCCTAGGGAACGGGTCCACACTCCACAGTATGTAATAACGCCTAAACACGATGAGGCATGTTTAAAGTTGATTCTTATAATATGAAATATTGAAAATACTTATTATATCAATTGGTAGATATGATTTCATCACTAGATCATTATAAAATGAAATATGCTTACCTGCAAACAGTGGATACAGATGACCAATTCCATTAGATTGAAGGGATTTCTGAAAATCAACTTTCTATCCATCAGACATGATTCCCATTCGGTAGATATAGCACAACCAAACGTATTCAACAAACAGTGTCTATACGTGTACTGATAACTGAAGGAAATTGGGAAAATACAATATGGAATTTGTATTACGGAGGAGAGAGTTGAAGGAAGCTGCGAGGTTCGAAGGGTTCATTTTCACTGGCAAGCACTGACAATCTGATTTCTGTAGATCATGCACAGCACAACATACTGCGAGAATGAACAACCAACGAATAACTGAAGTTGACTGAAGTCAAACCATAATGGAAAAAATCCATGGAATGTTTTCTTAATCAGATACGCGGGTATATTTTCAAATTAACTGAATAGTTCATGATGTTGTATTAGAAGAGTGAAATTGTTTTGGGTTTCCAGTTATAAGTTACCTTGCAAAACCTTGTATTCAAATCATGTTAACAAATAACGAATTTGATATAGTTGTTCAATTCTAATTGGAATAGTAAACTTCAACATTTTCTAGAATCCTCTTCACCGCGATGATAGTGAATATTTTTCAATACATTTCAATAACTGTTGATAGAAAATTTCATTCTTCTTCTGAATGGATTATACCAGAGTTCGTGAGTTGCATTCACAATGGGGAATAGTGAATAACACAGCTGCGATTTCGTATTAGTAAATTGATAATGATTACTCCGAAACACAGTACTCCTCCCTATGATTCAAATGTGATTTTCATACTGGTATAATTTACTAATGGCTTATTGAAGCTAAGTGTTTTGGCAGTTGGAAAGTCTAGGATTCTCATTACAATGTACTAGAAATATTTCACTACCAAGAATTGTGATTCCTTAAATGAATATTTTTTAGCGTGTATATCTGCTTCCTTGTGATTTTCATCTGTTAACTTTTCTTGCAAATTTCCATAACTTTCGAGTAAACTTGTTTCATCAAATTCCTTACCAAAAGCTAACTAGAGAAATCCAGAACATTCATTATAATCTTTGAGAGACTCGAATCTCTCATCGAGAGAACATGTCATTTGGTTGGTGATGGCATAAGAAAAATATCTTGAATTTGCGTGCTGTTGGTAGTCAGTCTGATAATCATCATTTCCCTCGTGCATACACGGAGAAAAATTATTGTTACCGTAACCAGAATTTTAACTAGAATTCAAGTTAGTATAGGCACAACCAGATATATTGTTAGTATAACTATTTGTATATAGTTAGCTCCAAATTGTTCTGATAACTAACTTCATATTGTTATGATTATATCATCAATGCACGGTCACCTCAACCATATTTATATTGTCTTCCTAACAAGATTATATTGCTATACTCACAATAATATATCGCAAACCAATCATTATTTCTTCGTTAGAATAGCAATAATAGTGTTATCGTAACCAGAGAGTTCTGTTATCTCAACAATATAACATTGATGTAGGGATCAGACTATCTTGTCACCCCAACTACATTATATTGTTCTCATGAGTAGACTATCTTGTTACCATAACTAGAAAACTTTAATATTCTAACAAGGATATCGTGTTATTCTAACTTGATTATATTGTTGTTCTAACTGAATGATATTGTTCTAACTGGATTATTTTGCTGTCCCAACTAGATCGTATCTTTACCATAACAATATAATATTGTCGTACTTACGATGCCACTATGTCACAATCACTATATGATATTGTCACCAAATTTTCATCACATTAATACTCCAACTATATCATATCGTTACGTTAACAACATATTATTGTTAATATAACCATATCGTTTCGTCATGTTATCATTTTCCACAGGGCGTTTCAGAACACGTGGTATTCCAAAATATGACCCCTGATGAAACATAACAGTTAGAATGCAGATCTTATTTGAGAATCCGTTTTCTTCTGTTGGAGGCATTTCATGGAATTCTTAGATACTTACAAACTGAACTCTCCTTGCCGATCAAGATAGTTAATTCGACATGGTTTCAGAATTTCACTAAGGAAAGTTTTACACAGAGAAATGTTGAGTTGAATATTGCTCCAAAATTTTTTGAATGTCAGCTGTTCGGTCGGGCTGAATGTCTCATAAAAATAATAATTTTCTCCAAATGGCTTTGTAATGACACTTAACAGAAAAGATGTACTTTTACTGCCTAGGCAGAAAAAGTACTACCTATAGTCAAAAAAGTTTGTTGCTATGCGAGTAATAATATGTATCAAATTCGTAATCAAAATTGACATTGACATTGGGTGATCACAAATTGATGGATAATTGGACATGGCGTGAAATTAAGACAAATTTGGAAAAAAATTATATGTTTCACATAGCTTCTCTTCCTAGTAAAACAAATAACTATTTTTCCATCAAATATATAATGTTCAGAATGCTTTATTGAATATTGAAGATCAACTATGAAGGACTACATCTAATGACAGCTCCGGATTATTCAATATTTCCTCCACGATTTTTGACACCAAATGCGCAGTTGATATGTCACAAGGACTGGCTGGCTTGATGTTTTTTGGTTGCCTGGAATGCCTGGCAGTGGCGGGAAAATTTCAATCGGTCTCCAATTGTCGGTATCAAATCTTTGAGTACCTCTTCACTTAGATAATTGAAAACTCATCCATTCCCTGCTCTGAAATTGTAAACAAACAACAAATTATCAATAGAGCTCTTCTTATATTCATAATTATATTTGGGCACAAGGAAACCGCGGTCGAACAATTGAAAATCAAACTGCGTTTTCGGAAGGAATTCTGAATATGGAAAAATGTACAAAGTGCATAATTATCACTGCTCGGGGTCAAACTAACTGAAAAATTCAACTGCCACTGATGAATTCAAATGTGTTGGTATGCACTTATACAGTGAGTGAACTGGTTCTTCAATACTGGTAATAACAGACAAACGAGTAGGCAATCAATCACTCAATCAGTCAATAAAAATATTTTCATTGTGATACCTACCTAGATCATATTGTTACCTCAAGTTGAATTGTTATCTCTTTACTCATTACAAGAATCTGTTTAGGTAGGTACTCATAGCAGTATTCTATTTTTAACGATATCATATTGTCATCGAAGCATTCTTGTAGAGCTAGCATAAAGGATATGAAAAGAACTATTTCTATTTACCTAGATTACCATGTATATAGATTATTAACAAAATACTCAATTGATCATTGAATAGGTACCTTCCTATCATTTCCTACCTATTATTTCATTTGGTACACTTAGAGAGATAGGAATTGAATTAACTTACCTCCAGTTATTAGCACAAGGTGATCTAATGACCATGATTTTGATAAATACTCCACAGAACTCCCCATTGCTTGAGACTAGTCAGCCACACAGTGAATTGAATAACGATTCCATGATCACCATAAACACAAACTTCACAGTAATGAAAATACATAAACAAAAAAATGAACAAGTGTATTCGTTTCGCCCAACCTGCTCAACTTCAACCGTAATCTTTCCGTAATGCAATAATACCAAGGGATAATATGCATTATGAGGAGTGATAAGTGGGGATATGACGCGAAGATAGTCGTTTTGATTGGCTGACAAATCTAGTAAGATAAGTGGATAACCATATGTACTGATTACTAGGACAATTCATGTGACAATCATTATATCGTTAGGATAGCTTCCGGTAGTTATAGTGAGGATCACCTTTTATTATGGTTATAGCAACTATTTAATTGACGATATCATATAGTTTGGATGCCTATGAATATTTCTAGTGAGGTTCACAATGAATTATGGTTATACTAACTATATCCAAGCTAACTATATGAATTATGTGTCCATGACAATGTCATATCTGGAGTCCACGTCATGGTAACTGAAAATCTGGTTACGGTAACCAAAATAATTTCAACAATATATTTCAGTTAGAATTCACTACAATGATTCTTTCCGTGTAATCAAACAATTTTGGTCTCTCTCTCCTTCTAGACGTTTCTGGAAAGTATGTTTCAGAATCTGAATTATCAGCTATTGTCCGAGAATGTTTTCAAAATTTCTGAATAGTTTTCATCGTATCTGAATGCAGCAAAAAAAATCTCAAATTATTCAATTGATCAAGACATACTTCAATATTGAGTGTAGAACATGGAAAGAATTTCCTACAGATGTTGATTTTTAACAAAATTTCATGATGCCATATCACTATGGAACAGATGAATCGAAATTTATTGATTTTGCTAGCCATTGAGAATACTTTGTGTTTATTCGACAAATCGAAACTATCATCTTGAGATACTTCCACGAGTGCATTGAAAATGTTCTTAGTCTGATGCCGAAAACGTTTTCGTAAGCGATATCGCACAGACAAAATTTTCATACAATTGAATGTAGTCCAATGGCTAAAAAATTCAATTCTTTCATTACTCAGCTAATGCCAAAGATTACTGAAATAGTTTATCTTCTGTAGTTTATGCTAATGCGAAGCGATGGTAGTATATCGCGAAAAATCGTGCCGCTATCGTCCTGACTCCTGTGGGCCACCAGCGTAAGAAAGGTTGTTTGTTCTTATTTTTTCTTCTATTAAGTGTTGGTAATTAACTGAATGCGATTGAAATTTTATAACGAAGATTTTTATAGTCTACAGAGTAATTTCATGTTCAAAATAACGAAGTATTATTTAGTATCTCGTGATTGGCCGCCCCTGAGGGTGGCCGCCCGTGTGCGGTGCACGCAGTTGCCACCGTATAGGCGCGTCCCTGGACCTATATTTATTGAAGAGTGCCTCATTAACCAAAACTTCGAATAAAGTAACATGGCAGTTAGGACCTTCTGATATAGTCCGTTAGAGAAACTCGAAAAGTTTTGTTGTGATCTATCACGAAAAAATTGTACGAGATGAGGTGGAGCTGAAATAATATTCAATCAATGTGTAAACTAGGAAATCGTGAACTATGGATTAATAGCCACAATTTTGTAAACCAAGATTGGCAAGATTGCACATTGTATGCATGATTTCTTTCTAGGTTACGATGTTAGGAGTATCAGTAATGTACAACATACACCACATACTTTTCAAATAATCATAAAACCAAAAATCACATGGTGATCGGATGACGTCGAAACACTGATTGTTGACTAATAATATGTCATTTCCTGTTTCCATATCAGTTACATTCAAAGCCCTCTGCATACAGTAACACAAATATCAAACATACAATTTGATTGTATCCAATGATTCCTTGCATTAAAAGCATGAAAAATCTTTGTGAGTCTTCTCTTTCGAGTGAGACCACGGGTTCTTTAGCTTCAGTGGCGGATCCAGGAGAGGGAGTTAGGGGTAGAAGTATTGAATATGAAAAGTAAAATACGAATATACAGGATGTTTTAATAGTCTGTATCAAGATTTCAGGGGCTTATTTTTTAGATCAAAATAATAATTTTTGTCTATCTATTCCAAGCGTTAAAATATATTTTTTTCCATATAGGTCTTTTAGTTTTCGAGATATTCAGATAAAAATTGAAACATGGGTTAGGTTAAGGGTTCACAGCATAAGTATGCCAAGTTATTGTAAGAATTTAAAAGGATATTATATTTTTTGAGGAGTTAAGCCCTTTTTTCGCTGCATAAACTTCTTTGTGGTGCGTCTTAGAACAAATTGATTTTTTTTAGAAAGAGGAGGAACCCAATTTCACAATGAAGAGAGAAAACGCTACATATTTATTTTGTGAGTTCAATAACAATTTTTCAAACATTACCTGGAGAATAAGAAACCTAACGAACCTTGACTTTTTATAAATGGTGCTGGAAAATAAAAAAAATATTGAAACTTAAACGCTTTGTAGATTATGTAGATCGGTAACGAAGCGTTTGCGGACATATATTCATGGGAAAAAAGTATCATCATGATCTGAGAAATAAGTCAATGAAATCTGCATTTCCAATTGACATATTATGAAATAACACAAATAGTGAGCTATTTTCAGTCCCATATCGTCGCACAATTTTCGGAATAATAGGTAATTCACCACTACACAAAATGTCATTTCTTTATATTAGAAATGTTTCTTCAATCGATCTATTTCAATTTTTATTGATTGTTAAGTGTTTTCGAAATGAAAATAAAGAATTTATATTGCACAAATAATTAACAATATGTCGCATCATTGCCAATCTCGAATATATACAGGGTGATCCACGTTGGATGACCTATTAGAAGAATCTGGAGAACGAGAAGACAGAACATTCTGAACAATGGAATGCTTTGATAATTGAATATTCTCTATCCGGCTAAAATATTTTCATCGATACAGTGTTGCCACTTCTATCAGAAACAACTAGCAACTTCGTTATTTCAAATCGAGCACCGTGTATATTTTATAGCATTTTTAGATTGTTCCTGAAAAGCTGATTTCATCAATGCATCACACTTGGGGTCTAGCATTAATGATTACAGAGATATAGGGTGGTCAAAATCGAGATTTTTCAATTTTAGGAATTTTTTGTGTCGAAACTATTCATTATCGATCAAAACCGTTTACATGTCCCTATCTTGACTTTTGATTTACTATCTACTGACATTTAATTGGAACAGATACAGGATGATCAGAATTCTGAATATTGAAGCACCCTATATTTTCTCCAATTGAATTCCAGTAGATAGTGAATCTAAAGTTGAAATAGGTACATGTAAGCCGTTTTGATCGATAATGAATAGTTTCGAAACAAAGAATCCTAAAATGAAAAATCTCGATTTTGAACACCCTATATCTCTGTAACCATTCCTGCTAGACCCCAAGTGTGATGCATTGATGAAATCAGCTCTTCAGGGTGTTCTATTTGAAATATCAAAGTTGCTAGTTGTTTCTGATTGAAGTGGCAACACTGTATCGATGTGAATATTTTAGACGGATAGAGAATGTTCAATTATCAAAGCATCCCATGAATGAATGAATGAATGAATAAATGAAATAATAAATAAATAAGTAAATAAATGAAGAAATAAATGAATACTACTGTACAATTGCTGAATAAATATTTATTATCAATAAAATATATATACAGTATGATGCAAATGTATGGAATAAATTCATTATTTCAGAAATGGGCGACATTTGAAAAAATTCCAAAAACACGTGAGTTTTCATTTTTGAAGCTTCATCTCATGATATCCATATGAGAGATGTTACGTCACCGGTGTTGGAGTAATGACGTAATGGACAATTTTTTCAAATACAAACAGGGGTCATGTGACACCTCGTTTGAAAGGTCTACTGATCGTCTATTCAACAGTCAAAATTTTGCATAAGAAAATTGAGATTGAAATGGATTATCATTTGATTAACTGAATCTTGCAGAGGTCTGCTACTGAGAATCGAACAACGAAGGGTCGTCTATTTGAAAAAATACATCAATTAATAAAGTTCTGAAGTCTAGTTTTTGGTTTTTTTTCGGAAGTCGTCTTGTTTTGAAATGAATTTATTCCATACATTTGCATCATACTGTATATAATTTATTATTATAAAAATATAAACAGGATACAATTCATATTACATAAACCCGAAACCCAATTAATGTTTCTACTTTTGAGTTTTGGTCGAATACTTATAGGTTACTCGAGTACTATAATATATTATAGTCAAGACTACTCAAGCCTAGTATAGTTGGATTAAGCTTTGCGCTAACGATATGTTCGGTCTCTCGTGCGTTTAATGCATTTCCATATAAAAAACTTTGCATAAATTTAAATAATTCGGGATAGTTGAAACCGGGAAAAATATATATTAAAATTGTCATATGCCGAAACCGATACGACTCGTTCTGAAAGGGATTATCGGGTGAAGGGGTTGGTAATTTTTTTTCATCATTTTACCTGTCCATCTTCAGGGTTATCAACAGATGAATAGAGCGAGAGAGCAGGGGGTGGATCGAAGTTTTATTTGACATTTCCCCGTTCGTTGGAGCAATGGCTCCTATTATTCAAAGTTGAAAATCTCCAATTTAAGCTCAGATTGACGATGAACTCTTCAATATTATAACAGGAGCGTTTGATGTGAAAATCATCATTTAATTACCAATCATATAGATTATGATCATATTCATCCATCAATTTTTCGTGATCTTTATTAGTCAATGAAGCTAGAAAATTTCTAAAAGACAACCTTAATTGGATTCTCAGAAAATCAGATGAGGGAAATGTCACAGTTATTATGGAAAAAGATTAGTATATCGATCTATCACAAAATATCATATTAAATAACAGTGCCTACTGCTACATACAACTTGACAAATATCCATTACTTCATCAATCCAAAGAAAAGGTAAATCATTGATAACAAAATCAAAGAAACAGGCCAAATTGACGATGTTATACAAGGGGGAAACATACTGCATATAATGGTATTCCACTCAAATTTTATGCTCAACCCATAATCCATAAACCAACCATTTCTGGTAAGACCTATATATATGGTGCGAGTTATTGTTGCCTCAATTGGGACCCCACAAAGACTATTGCTAGATTTGTTACTTACCATCCTGACCAAATCCAATGATTCTGATAACAAATATTTCATCAAGGACTGACTC